ACAAGAAAATCCTCATATATTACAGAAAATACTATAATGCTATAATTACATTTATATAAAAATGTACCTGAGATCAGTATTTGTATCTCCACTCTTAAACTGTATTGGATGTCCCATAGATGCGTCACTCCTCATAGACACACAGCTGGGCTCTGGTTCTGATCTCTTCTGCTGAAATGAACTATAACAGAGAGAGATTAAAGTGAATCCTTTGAACTGACCTATCGGTAAGCCCCTCCCCTTCAATGCAGATGAGCCAATGGCAGTTGAATATCAGTTGCACGGGGAGCGGAACTCTGACATCTTTAGGTTTTAGTGCCATAGAGAAACATTGGAAGATCCGAAGCTCGCATCGGTTTGATGATGTTTATGCTACAAAAATGGAAAAACTATGTGCAGCAGGTTCTCTTCAGGGGCCAAATAATCAACATCTTTCCAGACTATGCGCCTGCTGTGGTAAAGCGCCGCACACTTTTCAAACACGTGAGGGAGTTGCTGAAGGATAAACTCGGAGTCAAATATGAACTGCAATACCCTGCTAAACTGAGGGTCTCACACAACGGCAAATAGTTCTACTTCACCGATCCAGACAAAGTGGTCAGCTGCCTGTGAGATATTCAAAAGACAAGTACTGACCAAATGACACTTGCTTGCATTGATAGACATCTTTAAATAGAGCAGCTACACCTCCACCTCTCCTAACAGTCCTGCAAACACTCATGAAAGTGAAGTTAGGAGGGGCTGTTTCATTGAGGACCGTTGCACTGCAGCTGTCTTCTAGCCATGTTTCATTTAGAAACATAAAATCCAGGTTGTTTGTGGTTATTAAGTCATTGATTAGAAATGATTTATTTTTTAGTGAGCGAATGTTTAAAAATGCTAACTTGATGGCATTGCATTTTGTCTCAACAGCAATATTAGTTTGATGCATAACAGGCCGCAGATTAGATAAGTCAGCCGTACGGCTTAAGAAGGCCTTAGACTTTCTATCAAAAAAGTCTACAGAAAACTACAGGCACACTGGGTTCCCGCTTGTTCTGTAAACATTTGTGAATGTTGCTGCTATTATAGCAGGGACCCGACACATATCACTGAGAGCTGCATATCACGTAAGCGCTATCCTGATCCCCAGTACCACCCTGGAAGGGCTCCAGATCCTCAGTTCCGCCCAGGAAGTGTCCATGTCCCTGAGTTAGGCCCAGGGTGGGCTCCTACTCTGTCTGCTCCGCCCTGGTGGGCTCCTGTTCCATTTGTCACGAATCCGGTCCTTGGCCTTCCGGCCGATTGCCACTAGGGATCATTCTACCATTACATTGACTCTCACACTACACAGACTGTTGTACCTCACCACGGACTACAGTTCCCATCATCCATTGCACTGATTACACACACAGCTGAATCCAATCAGACATGCTACATAAGCTATGGACTTCCTCTCTCTCAGGGCCGTGTATTGTTTTGCATTTTCCACTCCCCAAGTGTTAGCTGCCTTATCGAGCCATTCCGTGTTTTCTGTTTTAGTCTCGTGTATTGTTCTGTGTGTATCACTCATCTAGCGATAGCTGCATTATCGAGTCTAGTGTCTTGTTTTCATCGTCTTGCCTTGTCTGTTTCTGATCACTGCCTGTTTACCTGGATTATCCCTCAAGTCTCGCCCAATTGGATACTGTTCTCCCCTGCCTGGACCTTTGCCTTGTACCTGGATTATCCCTCTTGCCTTGCCATCAATATACATGTTTGCCATTGTCTGATCTAAGAATCTGTGTTTTTGTTCTGTCACTGTCATTCTGTTACACTGTGGAGCTTCTGTCATGAAAACAAATTCCTCGTATGTGTAAACATACCTGGCAATAAAACTCATTCTGATTCTGATTCTGATTCTGATCTATGCCTGTTTTTGAATAAAGCCTTGCAGATGGATCCGCACGCTTCCTGTGTTCCCTCCGTTACAAAAACAGTGAACAATGTTATTGAATAGAATCTGTTACAAAACCGTTATTGCAAGACATAGGCCTATTGTTATAGGCTACACAGACAAAACAGTCGGAGATGCGTTTATGCATTTTTTTTTCTATTTTACACATTAGTAGTAAATCAAGACTTCGCAAGTTCTCTTGTAAAATAAAATAATCCAAAACACAACAACATGGAATAAACTGTGTACAGAAAGCGAGTAAAGAACTCAACATTAGGCTACTAAAAAGGTCAGTTTAATCTCGCAAAAACTGCCGTTAATAAAAAATCTGACTACACTGCACAATTAATCTCTTACACTGCATCTGTTGTTTATGATGAATTCGGTGCTTGCACGTACACCGATTTTATTATTATTGCAGCCTAAATGTTCAAATAGCTGCAGTACTCTGACTTTGCCGCAAGGAAAAGTGCGTACGCCTGCTCAGACCCTGACGTGGCGGTAAGTACTTTTCCACGTCAGACCGTTTTTATAAATCTGAACGTTGCCGTGGATTTTAGCGTACGCACACTCTAAGATCAAATCTGTGCGTAAGCACATTTTATAAATGAGGCCCCTTGTGCTTAAACGTTCAAATACACAAAGTTATGTCAAAATGTCTGTCTTATCTGTGTCTTAAATCAACATTAATAGTTAAAGATAAAGCATGTGTAGTTTTAGGTTATTTGAGATCCTGGATTATATGATGAGATTTTAAAAGGATAGTTCACCCAAAGATGAAGATACTGTCATCATATACTTATCCTCAAATTGTTCTAAACCTCTATGAATGTCTTTGTTCTCCTCAACATAAAAGAAGATATTTTGAAAAGTGATCATAACCAGTTTCTGGTCCCAGAATGTGGGCCCAGCAACTGTCTGATTACCAGTATTGTTCCAAATATATTATTTTACGTTCAATAGCAGAAGGAATCTCTCAACTACAGTCAACTGTGCTATTTTGGGACACCATGATTATGAACTAAAATGCACTTTAAACATACTATCTCTGTAATAAAAGATGTATTTAGTCACCACTTGCAGTGCACTTGAGTGTACTAGTGTATGAAAGATGGGTTCATTTTAGTTCATATTCATGGTCTCCCAAAATAGCACAGTTGAGTACAAGATGATCTCAAGTTTATCTTAAGTACTAAATCATCATTTTTAGTATATTAAATACAAAATTAGTGCGAGAACATAGAGCACTTTAGGTATATTATGGAAGTGCACCTGGGTAATCATGCTGTTTTTTTTTCACCTGGGTAATCGTGCTGGGGTTTTTTTTCACCTTAAGACGACACGTGAATATAGAGCCAGATTTTTGTTTATGTGAAGTTTAGGTAGCAGGAAACACAACTAAAGTTATATTTTCCTATATTCTCTTTTGAGTAGCCAAAAAATCCAAAGAAAACATCTTTAAAACAGAAAGAAAAGTAATTTACAAAATTAGATTAGATGAACATTCATCAGTCTGACCAAAATGTCTCTGTGTGGGTAGAAAACAAGTGAATGAATCTTCCTCAGAAGAGACAAACTCAAACAGCAACTCACTTCAATGTCTGACTTGTATTATAATTACATCCATTAGCTTTTTGTGAAATTTGGAGTAACTCATTAATCTGTTTTTGACCTCTTCATATTTAAGGACAGAATATAGTTTCCAAAGTCAGACATCGCTTGTTATGGTTTTCAATGGTGTAGAATTTAGTAGAGACACTATGACATGATCCTACCAATATCAGACACTACTAAATTGTCCCTAGCAATAATTTTGATCAAACAATGAAATGTCTGTTTCTGCTGTTATGTCTCCATCAGTGCCAAAATCAAACCTACACCCTTTGATCATCTGCATGGATTTTAGCCGATAATTCCAGCAATCGACTATCAGTGCTGATTAATCATCAAAACTGATCAATCAGTCGACCTCTATTATTCATTGCTGTTGAAACAGAAATCCAGCAATACATCCAAGATATTTCATCCTCACATAACTCCAAAGCTTGAATTTCACTTTCATTATTATTTTATTTAAATAGATACTTTTACACTTACTATGCATTTATATGTTTTGATACCTTGGCAAAAAAAAAAGTTTCAAAATAAGAGTTTTGAAGTGTTTTTAAATCAAGATATAGCAGGGCACACATTTCTCTAGACGATATCAAGTGGAAGCCCCTCTTCTCGAGATGACACATATTTTAATAAAAATAAACATTCATATAAAGGTAAGATAAGTTGTCTATTTCTGAATTTCAAAATACACAGTTATGATGATCTATATTAAATCTGGACAGCTCAGGATATAAGCCCATCACTGTAAATAATACATTGATTTTCCTTGGTTTTCAGTGGTGTATAAACATATAAACTCTTTTCTTAATGTCCTTTGGATAAAACACCTTGACACCCCATAACTACTTCATTGTTTAGTAAATGTGTGACTATCTCTGTCTTATGTGGGGTTTTCCTCCTGAGTGATTGTTCTCTGGTAGTTTCTTTGAGGACGCATGTTGTTGATTTCCTTTTGGGCCTTTTAAAAGAAGCGAGATGAATGACCACGAGAGAGAGAGCTGATTTGTTTAGTTTTCTTTAAGATTGTTTCTTGTACATCAACACTGCTACACCCATTACACTTCCATGCATTCATTTAACTTTACACGACTGATTCCTGACTGTTACATTCTATGCTGTTCCTTTTTTTCCTGTAGTTCAATTTTTTTTATTAAAGATTGTATTCTACTTCTTTCTTTCTTGTGTGTCCCTGGTTTTTGTTCCGTCCCTTTTGAGCCACGGAGAGTAACAAATGGGGACTCATCCTCGTCACAGTAGGATCTAATCAATGTGAGGATGATTTGGAAATATTTGATATCATTTTTGTCATTTCATTGTATTTTGTTGTTTCTGATTCTTTTGAACATGACCAGTGCGTCTCATAGTGCCATTTATATTGCAAACTTTTACCACAACCACGGGTCAGGATTAAACATGGATGACCTCAAAGAACATACCTTTCTTTCCATTTCTCCTCAAATATCCACCCTTACAGGTCAAACTTCTTCTTTTGGACATGTTTAAAATCACAAGCTGATACACAAACATCAGTTACAACTAGGGATGCACCGATACTGGTATCGGTATCGGGCCCGATACTGGTCTTCTGTACTCGTACTCGTTAAAATGCCCCGATACCAAATGCCGATAAAACACAGCATGTGATAAGTGCCGTATTCAGACAAAGAAACACCGACAACAGAACAACAGACAGCAGAAAGGAGTTAAGGATGTCTACTACGATGTATATGTATGCAATGAATATAATGTTAAACATTCAGTATTAACGCCTGCATAGCTGATGTGCGCGAGCTGATAAACAAAGCACGCTGAGTGGATTGAGCGCGCGGCGGCGCAGATGCATGAGCTTGTCGAGTGAATATACCTTTCTCACAGACATCACTGGAAAGTTTGTAGTTCGGTTGGATATGTCAAAAACAAGTAAAACATTGCACAAGTTACTTAACGGTAGGGAGAGCGAGAGAGAGAGAGAGAGAGAGAGAGAGAGAGAGCGCAACACTTCTGTTGTGTGATCTCTGATGTTCTCTCACTTAGCACACGAATCATTTGGATTAAAACTAAATCTTAAAAATAAGACCATTTATAGGGGCATTCACTATAAACATAATTTATTTTCAACCTTAGGCATACACGACTTTCGTATAAATACTGAGAGTCCTACAATAAAACACACAGACAGTCACATATGAGTATGAGACATTACTGCTGTCACATCACATCAGCAGATCCATTTCAGAAAAACACAATATATTCATATTACAGCCAGAGATATGAATGAACAACTGATCATAGATTAAAAACAGTGAATGATCAACAACTCTCTCTTTATCATTTACACCCTGAGACACTGGAAGAGATGAAAATATCCATATATTCATAGATCATCACAGAATTAAACAGTTTAAAGTACAGAGACTAAAGTGGAGCTGAATTAGTATTATCGTATATTCAATTACACACATATGAGGCCTGCTACTAAACTTTGGCCATTTTAAAATATTTAAATAATAATATACTCACAATAGTTTAATGTCTCCAGTTTATAATGTGGATCATCTTTCAGATTAGAGATTAACTTCACTCCTGAATCTCCTAGTTTATTCACAGACAGATCCAGTTGTCTCAGGTGTGAGGGGTTTGATCTCAGAGCTGAAGCCAGAGCAGCACAACCTTCATCTGTGACGCCACAATAACTCAACCTGTAGAGAACAATGACAGAATGTGAATTGTAGTTTAAGTGTCTGTAGTTTGTTATTCACTCTGGTCTCAGAGCAGGAGAGGAGATATAATGACAAGCA